ATGCAGACTGCATATAGCTAGTTTGAAAACTTAGAGATTTGGATTTGATTTCTTGTGTTTTTTGAAGTCCTTGGGGTCTAATTAGTAGGAAAAGATCAAAACTTGAGCCAAAAGTTTGTATTTGAAAAAGTTGTCTATAGGCCATATTTGCCTCTATGGCCAATATGCATTAAAAATGTAAAAAATTATTTTCTGTACTATGGCAGATATTTGAGTTCTGTTTTTTCTGACATGTCCAGATAGTCCATGTGAATATTGGTGCAAAATTTCAGCATTGTAGCTTTGTAAGTTTTGACGCAAAAAATTTATTTGTCTTTGAACACTTCATGTGCACCAATATGCAGACTGCATATAGCTAGTTTGAAAACTTAGAGATTTGGATTTGATTTCTTGTGTTTTTTGAAGTCCTTGGGGTCTAATTAGTAGGAAAAGATCAAAACTTGAGCCAAAAGTTTGTATTTGAAAAAGTTGTCTATAGGCCATATTTGCCTCTATGGCCAATATGCATTAAAAATGTAAAAAATTATTTTCTGTACTATGGCAGATATTTGAGTTCTGTTTTTTCTGACATGTCCAGATAGTCCATGTGAATATTGGTGCAAAATTTCAGCGTTGTATCTTTGTAAGTTTTGATGCAAAAAATTTATTTGTCTTTGAACACTTCATGTGCACCAATATGCAGACTGCATATAGCAAGTTTGAAAACTTAGAGATTTGGATTTGATTTCTTGTGTTTTTTGAAGTCCTTGGGGTCTAATTAGTAGGAAAAGATCAAAACTTGAGCCAAAAGTTTGTATTTGAAAAAGTTGTCTATAGGCCATATTTGCCTCTATGGCCAATATGCATTAAAAATGTAAAAAATTATTTTCTGTACTATGGCAGATATTTGAGTTCTGTTTTTTCTGACATGTCCAGATAGTCCATGTGAATATTGGTGCAAAATTTCAGCATTGTAGCTTTGTAAGTTTTGACGCAAAAAATTTATTTGTCTTTGAACACTTCATGTGCACCAATATGCAGACTGCATATAGCTAGTTTGAAAACTTAGAGATTGGATTTGATTC